CCCGGAGCTGCTGCGGCCATCGGGTACCTCCGGGCCCGGCAAGGTGTGGGCTGCCAGGAGATTGCCAGCCCTAGGCAGGGTGCTGAAGGGCCTGTGAAAGCCTGTCGGCCGGGGCCTCTGGCCTCCTGCATCCCGCTCCCGCGGGCGGCTGTGTTGCTTGGGGCCTTCCAGCTTGGCTGTGTCGGTTTCTCTTTACATACGACTGGCTTGGCAGGTAGAACGGAGGTTACAGGAGACCCAAAGAATAGGGTCCCCTAGAGCCTCCAGTGCTGCAAACCTGATGCCTGCTTGGTCTGTGATGAGATTCACAATGGGCCTAGCCTCTTAAAGGACTCTTAACATGTGTTACTGGCTTTACATCATTTGCTTTAAAGCTGTGAGATAGAATCGTCTAGGTTGGAAGGGCCCTTTAAGATCATCAAGTCTAACCATCAACCTAATGCTGCCAACACCACCACAAGACCATGTCCCTAAGCACCACATCCACCTGTCTTTTAAATAGTCCCAGGGATGGCAATTCCACCACTTCCCTGGGCAGCCTGTTTCAATGTTTGATAACCCTTTCAGTGAAGAAATTTTTCCTAATGTCCGATTTAAACCTTCCCTGGTGTAACTTCAGGCCATTTCTTCTTGGAACCTTTTTCTTGCTAGTTTTTTGTACCCCTAATAGCCAGTGGGCATTTTCAATTTTATTCACAAACTGTAAGGTACTAACCTAAAATCATTCAGGATGATGGATATATGATCATTAAATTGGGATAGTCAGACCTTCAGAATAAGGGGATGTAGGATTCCAGATTCGGGATCCCCACTGGTAAGCTGTTTTTACGGACTTGCCTTGAAGTGTTTATAAACCTGTTTATGCTGTTTCAATTTTGAGGTAGTGCAGTTAGTACTGGGAAAAGAGGTGAACTCAAATCTTTGGTCTGCTTTTAATGATGTTCATGTCTGTGTACTCGATGGTTGGGTAAAGCAAAACTTTTAACAGGTTGTCATAAAAAATACTATGTTGTCAAATGTTGCTATCAACTGTGTTGCTTTTTTTAAAAAAAAAAAAAAAAAGAAGTCCTGAAATGCTTTTCTGGCTCAGAATGGCTCTTAAAACTTGTATTACACATGGATGTTTCAGAAAATGTTAACAGTTCTATTTCAGATATCTAAACATTTCCTTAATGAACTATCAGGTACTGTTGCAGTAATTACTTCTGATGGAAGAATGATTGTGGTGAGACTTGTATTTTTTTTTTAATTTTATTTGCCCCCATAAAGACTTTCCATCATGGCAATAAAGAAACTGTGCTACGATATTATCACCTACATGTTCACACCTTTAGAAACTTTTTATTTTTAAATCTTTGTGGCCATTATTTTATGCTGTATGATTTAAACACTTGCTGATTCTTGCCTGTCAGCTTTGTCCATTGATGAACTTGTGCATGCAAATGCTTTGACGTTTTGTCAAATGGCCTTTTCTGTAGGAACGCACAGGAAAATGCATTTCTTTTTCTGTTCAGTGATTTGGTTTCCATCTAGAATGTTGTCTTTGTTCTGTAAGCTCTTCAGCTTTTGCGGTAAAACCATTTTTTCCATGTGCTTTTAGAAGAACATCAGCTGATAATTGCTGAAGAATTTTTGTGGGGTTCTGTTTAAGCCTGAAAAGCTGAGGATTGGCAAACTATTATATATTGAGTGTATAGTTTTCTTGTTTCTGTGCTGTTCGTTGGGGTTTTGTTTCTTGTATTGCCCCCCGTCTCTTATTCTTTTGTGTTTTGAGTTTAACTTAATAGTATGGTCATTGCACAAGGATTATATCTTTCTGTCTGTACTTAGCTTTGTGTGGCCTCTGGAAAGAGAAAACAGTACTTTTAGCAGAAAAATAGTAACAGCACCAAGTCTTCTGCCTGGTTGGAGTCAGTCTGGTAAACTTTGTGTTGTGATACAAGATACATTCAAATCTTTTTGGTAGAAAGTTATTGGTATATATGACTCATTATTACATGGTTAGATGATATAAATGATTATTACCACTGTTTGAATGATGGTGTTTTACAGGAGTTTAAATTTCTTAAGCAATTACTGATGGTAAACTACACAAATCAATTATGTTATCATTTTTCCAAATGCATATTGAAGTGGCACAGAAATTCTTTTTGTGTTTGGTTGTGTTTTTTTTTAATAATTTTGTGGAACCAAGCTAATATTCTTTGAAGAGATACCACTTAAAATTGCACATTAAGAATGATTTCAATATTGTTGACCACAAGATTCTAATTTTTCTGTTCTTTGTTTTAATTAATTATTTATTTGATTTCTAGAAGCTTCCAATACAAGGAGGACTAAAATAGTGTAGGAATAGTAAAATTAGTTGTCTAGAGGGCCATCATTGGTAAAAGGGAAACTTCTTTTAATGCTAAAGATTACTGTAGCTTTTAGCGTGAACACTCTGTAATAAATATAAATACTTTTTAAAATTGTTTATTGCTTTTAAAGTTTCATTCTCCAGCCATTTGTGTTTAAGTCTAACAATAAAACCTAAGTAGAGCATCTGTTCTGTAGTACCTTAGTATTGCCACCTTGTTTAAGGTATCCTTGAGAGCAGAGATGATAAATTTAAAAGGTGATTGGAGTGCTTTATTTTTGTGTGTTTTTTCAGGGAACCCTTAAAGGTTTTGATCAGACCATTAACTTGATTTTGGATGAAAGCCATGAACGAGTGTTCAGTTCGTCACAAGGAGTTGAGCAAGTAGTGCTGGGATTATACATTGTAAGAGGTGATAACGTGTAAGTATAGCATATTCTTGTTTAAAACAATAAATAAAAATGTTGTGTGTGTATATACAATGTATCTGTATACATCTTGACAGCCCCAGGCATCTTGTCATTGTATCTGTGGGTAGCACTGATAGTACTGTCAAAGCTGAGGCACATGAAGTAGCAAATATCTGTGCTGCTGTTACAGAAGTGATTGCATTGTAATGTGAAGATATTGTTAGTCTAGATTTGCTGAGCTGTAAATTAACCAGCTCATGTACTGATAGCAACTTAGGAAAGGTCAGTCTAAAGCTCAGCATTTTCCTTTCTTGAGTGGAGAGGCATTGTGTAGACGTTCTTCATTCAAGTCTGTGAAAGGCAGGATCCATTGACAGAGGAAAAAGTAGAAGAATGAACAAAAGATGAGGTAGAACTTGTGTGCAATCTGGTATACAAGGTTAACTTTTAGCGGGATTTTTTTTAGATGAGATTTTCACAGAGAACACTCTGTAACCTGGAAAATGCATGAACGTTCTGACTTGACATTGTAGCAACTGCTGAAGCTGATGTAGTGACAGGTCAAACAAATGAGTTGATATTTAATGTAAAATGCCCTGACAAAATGAGAGTAAAAGCTCATTAAATGCAGAGAAAAGTAGCTGATGTGTCAAACGGGAGGGTTACAAAAGAAGTGGAAAGAAGGCCTGGTAAGTGGGCCTGCTAGGAAGCTCACTTTTGCAGCAGCGTTCTGAAACTGATGACAAAAAATGAGATTACTTTTTATTACAACCAGAAATAGTGCATGTCACAGTGACCGACATGTGAGCCTGGATAGCAATTTTAATCTTCTAATTCTAATGGATATTTCTGTACAAAGAAATGTCAAGATGTAGATTTATATTTAGGTGTGTTTATCTAACATCATTGAGAGAGAGGATTATTTTGGAAGACTTTCATCACTTCTGATTCAAGCTTTTAAACAAAATTAACTAAATTGATAAATGTCCAAAGGTAGGGCTAAGCATCCTGCTCTACCAGTAACTTTTCATTCAAATAGTACAAATGTGAATAAAAAGCCAAATAATTGTTTACTGTTTCACTTTTTCACCATACCAGGCCACCACATTACTCAAATATACTTGAATCATTATTTTATAGAAATTATTCTATTTTTTGTAGCCTTAACAAACTCGAAAATGTATTAGTTAGAAGGAATAATTCTGTATTAATGCAACTCAACATACTGAAATTCAGCATCCTTATAGGAAGAATTAAAAAAAAAAAAACAACAGCGAAGTAGCAGTAACTTCAAAAGAGGGGACTCTCAGAAAATAGAGAAGCTATTGAAAAATAAAATAAAAGAAACAGGCATGGGATAAAATGCTTCCAGGCATTCCATTGTGCATCACTAGAAGCTTGCTGTGAATATGCAGCATCAATCAGAAAAAATCAGTATGGTTCAAAAGCGAGTAAAGGTTGTTAGAAGGAAAAAGACAACTTTGGTTTTAGAGGTGTGTGATGAATTGGGAAAACCAGAAAAGATATTAGTACAAGAAAGTTATGTGCAAAACTGTAATAAAAATTGTGAAGGAAAAGCTGGTTAAAAATCCCAAACCTCTTAAAAACACATGTGTTTGTTTTGCTGGGTGAGAAACAGAAGGCCTATGAAAGAGACATCAGGAGTGGCAGATATTGTTTGCTCCTTTTACGTCGAGGAGAATGAGATCTCTGATGAAAAAGCTGTACTTGTAAATGTGAACTAAAGAGAAAGTTATGCATTGATATCGTATAGACAGGTTTTAATCTAAGGAAGTGTTTTAAATTGAAGTGTCGCTTTGGAAAAAGCTAATAAATGGAATAGCAATGAGCATCCAGGATTAAGTTCTTTTCACGCAAGAATTCTGAAGGTATTCAAATTTGAAATGAGGTTTCATGCTGGTCAGTACTTGAATATTCAGTTGGCATAAGCAGTTTACATTTGTGTTGTCTAAGCTTCTAACACTGATGATCTAGGCAGTGATGGAACTAAGCAAGCTACTCAGCTGACCAGATTTCTGTTTCGAGGCAAACTAAATTCCTCCTTAGTTTCCACTGACTGTCATGGGAACCTAGACAGCTGTACTGGGACGTCTTACTCTTAAACTCTGTCTCACCCTGGTCTCTGGCTATTTTTTTTTTTTTTTAATACCGATTCACTGGGAAGAAAGAATATTAGGAAGAAAACTAAACCAGCAGACATTGTCGTGTCATTGCATAAACACCTGGCATGCCACCATCTTTAGAGGGGTGCAGTATGAAAATGCCTGAAGAGCGTAAGTGAGCATAACTAGGGGTATGAAATGTTTTCTATCAAGGAAAGGCTGAATAGGCGAGGGCTCTTCAGTTTGGAAAAGGTGTAGCTATTGTGGTTATTGGTTGCTGTGAAATCAGGAGTAGTGGAAGGAGATTGGAAGATAATTTCTTCATTTAAATTCCTCTGTTTTTTTCTGTTGAAAATGGAAGATAATCCAACAAGTTATGTATAAAGGTATTTCATTGCACACAGTAAAACTTAAATGTGAAACTCACTGCTGCAGGATGTAGCAAAGACCAAAAATAAAAATGTATTCAGAAAGCTATTGAACTGATTAATATAGCATAGTCAGTTCATTTTGTGGATACAGCCACTAGCTCATAAATCTCTGAAGTGGTGAATAGAAGAACAATTAGACTCTTTTTTCTTATGCTCCTCTGAGTTAGTTCCCATCCTGAGCTACTATGACTTCTATTACCTTAACCTTCGTTTCTCTTTAAAGCAGTTTTACCAAGTCCCCTAGCGTTTTAGTCCAGGCAAGTCTTACAATAGCATAGTTAAAATACTATATATTTTACCTTGGATAAATTAATAACATTTTACTAGGCTGTTTTGAAGGAAATTGTCTTGTTTATCTGATGCCATATGTACTTAAAAATTGCTACAGTTATACATTACTCTTGAAAAGGTCTTCTGTCTGAAAGGTTTCCAGTTCTTGTTTCAGAGGCTAACCTACTGCCTAAAATAGATAAGTATTATTTGGTTCTTATAACCTATATCTTAAAAAAAAAAAAAACAAAACCCCACCAAAACTTCCCTTAGACTTTACTTATAGCCATCAAAATTTGAAGTTCAAAGGACAGAGCTCTACAATTAAAAAAAAAAAAAAAAGAAGTCTTCACTAGCAAGTTAATTTTGTGGCTTTCTAGATTTGTACCAGGGGATTTCAACAATTGATAACCTGTTTTTTATTGCAGTGCTGTCATTGGTGAAATTGATGAAGAGACAGATTCAGCTCTTGACTTGGGGAATATTCGAGCAGAACCTTTAAACTCAGTTGTGCATTGAAAACATGGAAATGCACAGGGACTTTGTAAATCTTTGGTTGTACAGACCTATTTAACAACGTCGGCGATTTTTACAAATTGTGTTTAATTTGTTTAGTCACCAGTTTTTTAATATGAATATGTTGTAGTTTTGCATGTAAATTAAAGTTTCTACATTTTACTAAAGATGCTTTCATTGAATTTCCTTTGGGTTTCATGCTGCATAATTTCACTATAAAATACATACTGGGAAATGCAAGCAATATCAGTGATTGTCTTGATATTGTGTATATATATACACCTCATTTTTAAAATAAGATCTGATTCCTAAAGGTAAACCAAGGTTTTCTCTGTTAACTCAGGATTATTTGGAGGTAGATTGTGTAATAGTCCATTTAACCATCTCTAAATGTAGTTCTGGCTGTAAGTAGAAAACTGTTTTTTATGATTTACCGTTTTTTATGTGTGTGTGTAGTGTTGAACGCAGGAATGTTGTAAGCTTTCACAGTCAAATTAATAACTTATGCATGTAATAGGGTTTTTTGTTGTTTATCAAACATTGTTCTCTAGTCCCCAGGACTATACTGGAGTTGCAGGAGTTCTTAGTGCCTTAGTGCTTGCAGACAAATTAAGTTGGAGAAAGACCTTTGAGCAGGAACATAGAACCTAAACCAAATATACACATTTATTTGAAGCCCACTAAATTCCAGACCAACTCATTCTCTAGCTTCTCCTCCCAGCGGCTGTCGTATTGCTCAAAATTTGGGTATGGTCTATAGAAAGAGAATGGTGTGTTTGCTAATGTGTTGCCATTGTCTTGCTGGAGTGCAGTTTAGAAGACATAGGAGTACTTTAGATATAGAAATTATTTCTTTCGAACGAAATTTGCCTTACTATTGAATATAAGGGTTACACATAACCATAATTGACCTCCTCGTATACATCAACAGCCAAGTTAAGTGGGACAAACTATGTGCAGTATAGTGTGTTTTAGGCCTCATGCTATTCACTACCCAGCAGAATTACTGGTGTGGTGGAAGCGAGAAGAAGTCAGTACTATCGGACAAAGCTGTTTTCCTTGTCCTCTAGTGTGCCAGCAGACCCCATATATGTGTGCTGTTGCAGGAAGAAAAAAAAAGTTATTTTAATGTGCATATTTGGGTTTTTTATATTGATTTTTAATATTAAGTGGGATTTGGTACTTTTCATTCCAAGTACACTGTTTGTAAGCAAAATGCATTGAACTGAAGATATCTGTTCCCATGAAATCTGGGTCTCAATTCTTATAGCTTCCAGCTTGTTTTCTGGGATTGTTCTTGGTGGAGCATGTGAAGCCCAGCAGACCTTTTTCGCCTTTATCCATCTTGTGACCTAGTAAAATGATCTCTTCTAGTTTTCTGTCCACACTTCTGCAGGGAAGTGCTGAGCAGACATTGAATAAAGCAAATCAGGGCTTTTGTGTGATTACTGGAAGTCAGTCAAGTCTGGCTATAATTCATTTGTCAAAAGAATCGATCAGTTTCATTGAACAGTCAACAAATTGTGTATAATGAAAATCCCTTTTGCTACTGAAACACTTGATATCAGCACTTGATATCAGCACAAGGGAGAGAAAATATAGAAAGTGAATTGTATTGATAAAGGGCAAATGAAGCAGATAATGTAAATTAGCTACTCTAGGGCTCAGCAGAAAAAAATGGAGAGGCAAAGAGCAGAATCAAGATGAGCTGGTTTTAAATGCACTAGTGAGCCTTGGATGTGTTAGGAGAGTTATGGTTGAAATACAGAGGTTGAATACTTGTAGAAGCACTGGAATGACGAAGGAAACCAGTTACTTTATAGCTGACGAATTATGTTTGAAGCTGAGTTATGGAGTGTCAATACATATAGAGACCATCTGCTTCAAGCATATTGTTTGCAGTGCAGTTCCTTGGTCCTGTGTTTGGTGGAGGACTTAAAATATTATGAGCTACGGATGTGAGTTGAAACTATTTTCTCTGTCCTTGAAGCAATGATTTCAGATGCAAAGCTGGAACCAAGGTGGTGAAGCTGATCAGTAAAATCCAGGAACTGACCAGGTGAGAATTCTGAGTAGTTCAGGAATTGCTGAAGCAGGAAAAACATGATCTGGAAAATAGTTTTACACAGTTAGGTGTTGAAAACACAGATTGCAAACCCTGTCGTCTTCCCTTCAGGTGAGTGACCTCAGCTCTTGCGTGCACTTTTTCTGGCCCTGTGAACTTGTGTACGGGGCGGGGGGCTACAGCTTAAAGAAACTGAGAAGTGTCTCCACTTGCAGGCCAACCTAAACTTAGGGTGTTCTCCAAGGGATTGGGAAAGGGAGTTTAAACTCCCTTTCAGAAAAGGACCCTAACAAAAACTGGCTGTACAAAGCCCAAATGGGTTGATATGCAGCACATTGCCTATCTCGTTGCAAAAGAACCAGTTTGACAAAGGATGGCCGGCTCACAGGTCTGACTGGAACTGTGGGCAGTAATTCGGCCCTGCTGAGACAGAGCCTGCTCAGAAGCAAAGTATTGTCTAAAACCTTAAAGCGGTGGAGTTTGCTTACCTTCATGTTTAGACGGTGACAATGTAAATCTTTTCAGAGTGGTGATTTTTGGCTTACACTCAAATTTTGTTTCAATTTCTGCACCAAATTTTGCTTTGGTTTGATGCCATTGTTTTTGGTCTGGATTTGACCAAAACATCTTCTGGATGTACTTACTGGTGAAGGGATCAAAGCCAGGAGAAACGGTCAGAAGGGGTTTCTTGAAATTGAATCTAGGGCTCGATATGCTTTTAAAAATTATAAGAATGAAATTCTAGCCTTCTGAATTTACAGGAGCTCTAATCTATAGTGGATAACTAGGTCCCTGTAAGTATATGGTGGAGAAGAAGCACTCAGGAACCCAGTATTTGATGCAGGAAGTTGAATGATAACCAGTCTCGCACAGTATTTTTATTGAATCAAACCTGCAGTGCAGTCCAGCTGAAAAAATAGTTCACCAATGAAAGTTAATACAATTTTTTTATATCATTATTTTACTTCCATAAAATGAATCACAGCAGGAAAAATAAATGGGATGGAAACCAGAAAGTGGACATAGAGTGATGGCCTTGTATTAGTCATTCTAAAAAAAGCAAGCTAGAGAATGTTAGTCTCCAGAGGAGGAGGAGAAGGAGGAAGAGTCTCGGGTGGAAGCTCAGCAAGCGCAAAGGCTGTGTATGTATCGTGACTCTAGCTGAAGCCACACTGCAGCCAGTGTAGTAAAAGTGTTGAAAGTAGTAAAGAGGCAAAACAGTGAAGACATGAAACAGCTGATTTTTTGAGAGGAAAAGTTATCTCCTCAGATGCTGAGGAGGTATGAAAGAGAACTGGGATGGAAAAAGAGCACCACGGGTCATTATTGTGTGTTGAGCAGGGCTATGCCAGTCGGTGTGTGCCAGCTGGCTGGGGCAAAGGTTCTCCTTGCCGTTTTCCCACTGCTTGTAGAGATGTAGCAAAGCAGAGGTCACCTAGGAGATGAGGAGTAGCATTGTCTGCAAAAAGCCTCTGTGTTATTCTTACTGGAGGGAAAAGTACTCTCAACAAAAGCAGAATAATTCCCTTTTCAGACTTGAAGGCGTGCCCAGTGAGTATGACTGTCAGCTGGTTTCTCGGGGTACATGAAGAGCCCTGCTGAGGTGATAGGAAAAGGGGGTTATAGTCCATAATGTTCTTGGAAACGGTCTTTTCCTGTTAACCGCCTAGATTAAAGATCCAATAAATAACAGGTGATGTTCAGTAAAATCCAATGAGTCCTTGCAGAGTAATAAACCAATTTTACAAAACTGAGCAGGGCAGAGAAAGGTGATGCTAAGGACAAAAGGAAGTAACGCTGAATTGGAGGTAATCGTCATATTCCATTGTTTCCTGCATTGCCCTAGGTTGGTCACTTCCTCCTTTTGTTTGTTTAATAGAGATCTTGGAGTGAAAGGACAAGTCTTGGCTAGTACTGGGAAAGGATGACTCCAGTGGAATCACTGAGCTGGAATCACTTATGAAGAGATTATATTCATTTGGTGTGCATGAAGCAACGCAGAAGCCATCTTCTGTGGTCCAAGGGCAACTTCCCTGGTTGCAATCTACATGAAGTGTCTCCATGTCCACTTCACATATTTACACATCAAAGTTCTTCAAATACTACATGTCCCGTGGGTAGGTTACTGGATTGAAAGAACAGGGGTTTTGTTTTGAGGACTTATTCTGATACGAGAATTTCTGTAAAACTCAACCTTTGCCATCAACTGTAGCCGGTTATCCTTAGTCCCTGGAGTTAGTGTTTATTCTTCAATCCATTTTATAAGTAAAGCAGCTGAGGGACATTTCAAACACTGTGTTAGAGCTGAAGATAAAATATGGGTAGTTTGTATGACAGATTTATCTCATGGCCACCGCTGTGCGACTTTCATAGCAAACGTACCAGATCTGTATGTGTGACCAGCTGCTTTGTACCTGTGACAGTATAATTCCACCTCGTAGTCTCTGCTGCATGAAGCTGCACTCTGCTAAGAATTTTATTCTGCAGATTCACACAGAAATGATCCTAAGTAGCAGGGCTGTGTTCTCTGTGTGTTGGTAATGAAAGGATTTAATTTATTCCATGGTTGACTTGACAAATACCAAGCCATGAGTTGTTGTTCCTTTAGGAATTATATGACAATGACCGTAAAGGCACTTCTCAAGAAGGTGGAAGCCTCAGTCTGAAGAGACTTGGAAACTACGAACGTGAGTCATACCAGTGAAACCTCAGGGTGGTTAGTGCTTGCTAGTTGTATTTGATCTATGGTACATTTTGGCATCTGTGTATGCAACTCTACTAATTTTTACTAATTGAGTTCTTGTTTCTGCTTTCCAGAAGGGAAAACTTCTGGAAAACTTCAGGGTAAACTGCAGTTTATTGATGAGAATAATGAAAATGAGTCTGTGGATATTTTTTTTTTTTTTTGAAGTGGAAGCGTTCTTCAGTCGCAGTAAAGATCCAGAAAAGCTGTGTCATATCGGTCTTAGCTTCCTTGATGCTTAAATAATGAGGTATACTTCATGTATCAGGTGTTCACAGACAAAAAAACACAAAACCCAGATGCACCCGAAGGTGATATCTGTACGGACCAAGCTTTGAGGTCAGGGAGGGAAAACTTGT